ACAGAGTTTGGGAGACAAAGAATAGTAAGGTCTTTCGCAACCAATGCTAGAAGAAAAGGAATAGATAGTATCCAGACACGTCTGATGCCTCGACAATAGAAGTCAGAACAAAAGAAGCAAATTATCAAGGTGTATACACAAGCACACAAATTTCTACAACCAAATCCAATCAAATCCTCCATTTTAGTAAAAAAGTGGGAATGCCCGCGGACGAAAACTTACTTCTTCAATACACTGCAATAGAATATCAGTCATAAGTAAGCAATCAGATCGATTCTTAGAGTTCAAAGTATCAACTACCAACTAAAATTTGTGACATGCAACCCTCAAAGTTATGATGCATTAGTTCCTTGACCAATGCCTCGTGATTGTGGATAGTGCTATTCATAGATATAATTATTGAATATCCTCGAAAGTAACCAGCGTGGGTTACACAACTGGGTTCTAAAAGATTGTTAGAATGAGAACTTACTTATACAAATAGGCTGCAATTCCGAGAATTATGATCAGTAAAATGATGTCAATGCAGAAGTTTCGACTAGATCTCAGCTGGAACACACACACACACACAAAAAAAAAGGAAATCGTCAAATCTGGTACATCAAATGATAGGAGTACTACCCTGCAGACTGCCTGAACTTAAAGAGGACATAATAAAGTGGCAGCTCAGTTTACCTGGTTAACTGTGTCCTTAAGCCTAACATTTGTGTTCTTAAGGTCAGATGAAGCCTTGTCGATCTGTCCACAAATCAAAGCGAATGAGCACAAGTTCTGAACTCTTGTCATTTAATTGACTAAAGAATTGCAGTAAGATTTCCCAACCTTAGTGTCAATCTCATCCATCAGAGGGACTTGCCTATCCAACTCCTGCATACATTGGAGCATCATTAATATCCTTACTTTACAAGGGGCAAAATAGATCACAAAAGAAGGCAGACCTCATTCATATCACTGGCCATGTTTTTCAAAGTATCCAGACCTTCTGATATGACCTCCAAACCTTGGTCCTGTGAGAAGTTGAGACAAAATCATGCATCTTCAACAAACCAGCAAGCCAGCATGGACACGTAACAAAATGCAAAAACTTCCAATGAATCATGAACAAGTGCATGATTAAATATTCCAAAAGAAATACATGCCTGTTTCATTTTGCGCATTTCATACTCTTGTCGGAATTGACTTGATTCTTCAGTTTGTTGAAAGTACTCATTGTCAAAACGTCCATCTGTATCCAATCCAAATACAGAAAGGAAAAAACAAAATAATGCTACTATGAAGGAGTTGTATAATATTGAAGTTGATAGTCAAATTGCCTGTAGTGGAAAAACTTTGAGAGGGATGAAACTTTACAATCACCTGAATCAAATTTAATTTCTGCACGAGAACCTGAACCTCCCCATCCTCCTGATTGTTTGGGTGCAGCTGCTGCACCATCGGGAATTGCATTTATCCTATCAGGTAATGCAAGCACCAAATCATTACGTGCAGCAAATTCTTCACTTGAAAGCCCCTTAACCTGCAAGAGGAAGTATTATTAATTGAGAAAACAAACTGTGAGAAGGCACGAGAGAAAATATGATATATTGATATTGTGTGTTCAATACAATACAAG